CGGTATAATACTTAATAGTTAAGTGCGCTTAAGCAACAATATTAACAACGCTAATATTACGACGAAGCGGCACGTTTTCGCGTTAAATGCATCGGAAGCATATATTTTGTTAGTTAACTCACTATTTGCTAGATCACTGTTCGAGAAGTGTTATTTCATGTTGTCGTTAATTACGGCTGAAGCAGCAGAATATCCCAGATTTAAATGAAACATCAAAGTGTGTCAGATAGCGCATAATACATCCAAAACCAGGTTTCGCGGTGTATTGCACTACCCCTAGCTTATAGCTGCATAGGAGGGTTACGTTGCGGCTCCATGGTATTTAAAACTGTAGAACTGCATTCATTTCGTGCAATATCGCTAGAGTCACCGCACTTATTAAGAACAGTGTTTCAGAAGCTGATACGCCTCATACGATAGAGCAATTGTTCCCTTATATGCTCCCGCCCATTCTACGCAACTAGGAGCAGTGGTATGGACGGTACAGTAGACCAGGATATGTGGTAGTGTATGAAGTGTACCGGCTCTTGAAACATCGTCCATAATGAGCTAATTGTTCTAGCGAACAAATAATGCATCTGGCGACTCAAATGTTGTAATACCATGAAGCCTTGCCCTGCATAAATGCCTTGTTAGGTAACTAGGAGCGATAGGCATAGGATATACCATAAAGTAATATCTTGTAAAAGTTATGCATTACCATATTTAAATGAATGCATTATTTTGCTTAAATACGCAGAACATACGAATATTTTGTATATAATAAAAATATGACTCACCGTTAAACACGACAGCACTGATATCGTCGCGTACGGTGGCTTTGGCTTCGATTCATAATAAGGGCTAAATGACTGGACCACACAAGGAATGTGTCTATTCGCTTCCTGTCGCAGATGATTTCAGCAATTGAGAAATGGTGATTGGCTCCGTCAGACAGATCGGCGGAGTGTAAGCCATTTATTCCAGCCATTGTGCTTTTCGTATGGGTGCTGAAACACGGCAGACATCGACAAGGAGGTTGGCATGTAATACTGAGGAAAACAGAAGAGGCAGATCGGCCTTCGGAGAGGAATGTTTCTTCCCGCTTTACAGTAACCGATATATCAAAAGTGTTGTGAAAGTGTGAATACAGCGAACATCAGCAAGCAGACATTCTGTTTATGTAGCTGATTCACAGTGAAAATAAGTGGATAATGTCAAAATTCCTGCGCTTGAAGGCCTTGAAATATCGAGTATTTCCAGTTCGTTTCAGGTAAAATGTTTTTTCGTTATTGCTGTTGTGCGAGGGTTTGTTAACATCAAGATATATCTATTTTTACATGTTTTTGTCGGACTCAGTGAGTCAAGAGCTCATAGGTTCGAGTTCCGATTCGATCGCTTGCTTCTGATATTTTAGTGATAGATAAATATGTAACACTTCACTGGAGAGAAACATGAAACTGCACATTAATGAGGCCACTTACCGGAAGCGAAGGTTTTGTTACTGGCTCACACAAAACTGTTTTATAAGCTGCGACGAATAGCGCTAAATT